AAAGTGAAGTAAAGCAAATATCATAGACATGCTACTAAATCGAACACCACGTCGAAAGCTCCTCAAAAGCAAAAGAAACGAAAATAAACCGAGATCTACACAGTACATATGACACGAACAGGGTTACCACAGAGAAACAGTAAACGTATACTTGACAATTCATCAATCTTGCGGTGTCCAAAAGCTCCCGTTTGCACTTGAGACTTCTGTGAAATGAGGCTGTGCGACTTCAAACGTACATCCAGAAGCTGGTACTCTTCTTGTTCCTCCACCTACGACGAGCTGTCCTCATGTTGCGCTGACGTAGCGACTTTCTGTTCCTGTGAAGAGCTAGATAAGTAAATCTTCTTGTCACCCTGGGGAATCTGTGTACGGCCGTGGACAAAGCACATTCTTTTAGAAAAACACATGTTCCAAAGGTGACTCAAGGTGACAGTCGAATGAAATCACCGATACGGGATTTATGCATCACCTTGCAACATAAATGTCTGAGTTTTCTATATTGTCCGAGCGTCGACATCGGTCTATAATTCCGATAGACCTCACTGAAACCAATACGCCATCTTGGTTGCCTGAACTGCGTCCAGTTCTTCATGGTTTGAACGTACACATTGGCGTTAAAACTATGACCCAAACGGAATTATTTCATAACGCGCCTTGCTGTAGCAAACTACTAACACACGCACAAGGATAACTGTCCTGTTAAGGTTTATCGGTTCACTGCGATAACCACGCATATGTATGTAGAAATATGGTGTGTTTATCTCAATACTCAAGCAAAAGAACTCCCTGGTGCAAGTTACGATAGCTTTTTTCTTCAAAATGCAATACCATTTGGCACAGTAGGAAAACAATGGCTTTATGGAACGTTTTGGGACATTTACTTGATTCAAGCTCAGATCAGTTCAATATTGGCGTGAAATTTTTCACCACTGGGACTGTACATGGCCATCAAAGTATTCTTGACAAAGTGTTTGTTGTTTGGCATTACAGCCATCCCGTGTTGTGGTGAGCTGAACCAAGTTTACTTGTTCTTCAAACATGTTTAAAGCTCCTTAAGTGTGAATAACTGAAAGTAAACAGTCAGCTTAGATTCGAAATTAGATTGGTCCGTTTCCTCCCAAGGGCATTTGTTTTTACAGAATTTCTTTTATTTTACTCGAGGAATGCATTTCTGAAATCAATGAGCCTGTTTGAAACGTTATATATTTCCATGCTCCAATTTTACTCGTTTTTGAACGGAAGCCTGTATTAATAAAACAAATGGGTCTGTTTAGACCCAAGGGTATCTCATTTCACTATTAACACGCCACTGGGATTGTATCGTGCATTCCTATCATGTCGTTACCATACCGTTCTGCGACAAATTAGACCATCCATTGTCTGGCATCTCATCCACGAAATATCTACTATCTTGTAAAGGATTAACGTGATTTCTAGATGCTCTCTAATCCTCTGTTCCAACTTTCCCTCTTTCAGACAGCAAATTACAGCCCTGGCTTCCAAGGTCTTTTCGACAAAACTTAATTAATGACAACACTGGTGTTTCAATTGGAATGAAAGGAACGTATGAGGATTCATTCAAACACGAACGTGGCAGAGTTAATCCTATTGTTCCGTTGCAAATCAAATGGGTCTCAGGAGCACACTTTTGGAGCACTACATCTACCTTTAATCACATGAAGCCAAGATCAATGTCCCTGCAAATCTTTCCAAGATGCAAAAGATTGCTGGATGTCTGAAACTCTCAACTGATTACAGGTGCGTATGAAGCCATGGCATTTCCTCGCATAACTGCTGATTCTTCAAAGCTCACACAGTCACTGATTAATCCAGGAATCTGTTGTCTGCGAGTTCTAATCTAAAGGTCTGATACATATTAGGATCAGGCAAATATAGAGTTCAATACGCTCCACCTTTTCCAAAGAAGAACCAAAATGCCTCTCCGTCTTATTTAGCTTACCTGTTTTACGGATGTGATAATGGTGACTCCGTTTGATGACAATATGTTTAGGCAGTTGCATGTATCCGTATTTTTTATTCGTATTATATGATGAATGTGGGGCGGTGGGGTAGCCTAGCGGTTAAAGCGTCACGCCGAAGACACGGGTTCGATTCCTGACATGGGTACAATGTGTGAAACCCATTTCTGGTGTCCCCCGCCCTGATACTGCTGGTATATTGCTGAAAGCGGTGTGAAATCAAACTGTTAAACTATGTTGAATATGGCACAATAGACCTTGTTGTCAAGTCGCTTAACTGCCGGGACATGATGGTCGAATCCACGATAATCGATGATCAAAAGCCCTGTCTGTCAGCACCATAGTAATTCCTTTGAAACATTACAAAAGGTCATTCTATTTTGATTGATGTTGATTATGAGCCATGCATTCACTGGCCCCTCCGAACGTAAAACTGACGCAAATGACAGACTAAAAATTTCGAAAAAAATTATATATCAACCATCACGTAGTTTTAAGTCGAGAAATCACTCGAATCTGGGAGTTTCGGAAGTAGAATCAACTGATTGTCATGATTTCTCCATTACGTAATCCAAGGTTTCACGCAAATGATATACGTCTTAAATGCTTCTAAAATGAATTTTCTCCCACTTAAAGCAACCATGCCATGATAACTGCAACGATTTTCACATCATCGCCAGATCACTAACTTTGGATCACCTTGCACGCGAGATTCTGTGTTCAGAAAGACGCCTCAAGATATCCATATTTAACATATGTCAAAATGTATCCATTGGTGGTCAGCGGTGATATATACATATGCCGTGAATGACAGTCTTCTGAAGCTTATCACCATCCTTTATCTTACGACACGTATACTGGCAAAATGGTCTTTGAGAAGTAAAACCCCATTGTAGTCATGCACAAAGAAGCTTTCAAACCCTCGCGTAAATGTAACTCTAAAGAGACGGTTTGCTGGACATAAAGGTACATATCATGGTCTAACAACTTGCAACTCATTTTCCTTTCTTTAAAGAAATCAAACATCAAGACGTTAGTCTGCGAAGAAGAACGCCGTGTAACAGGTTTTTGAACATCTACCAGCCGCCTGTACTTATGTCCATTAGAATGACTTGTATAAGTTGCAAGTTACCGGGTCCTTTACGGCAACTGTAATTAAACGCCGGCCTTTCACGGTGCATATAGTGCCCTTGTTATGGCTTTGTTGGACTCTTGTTACGGAAGGTATCTTGGAAGTAGCCAAGCTGTAATTGTTCTGTGCCATAGACGAGAAGACAAGCCTCAATTATTGATGCCAGATTAGTGTTAGACAAGGTTGTCATCCTTTGTTAGTTTTCTTCAGGGTGATGCAACAGTTCCTTGGTATGTCTGGACCAGGGAGCGTTATTGGTGACAAGGAAATTAAGCATCGCATCATCCATGGTTAGTGCTGACTAGAAATTGAGGGGTTCAGGATCAAACGGACCTGCTGCTCTTTCAAGAATTCGGGCACCAAGCCCTTTTAATCCTAGACCCCTCAAATAGACACTGGCTTTGACGAAATCCTTCTGGTAGAGTTGTGGTTTGACATGCAAATAAGTAACATTGATAGGTGGGAACACATGTACTTTACATACATTTGCCACACGTTAAGGTACACATTTACTCACAAAAATGTTTACGACCAACAAAAAACGACATTGAGAAATGGAAGAAAGAAAACTCAAAACAAGCAGGCATGCATGCACGAAAGGAGATAACAGAAACTGAACGGTATGGGTATAGTGTTAACCAAACAATAATCATAATCAAGATGGATCTGTGACTCGAACTCACAAAATATTAGACACCTCGTCAGTAGGGATCCCTATTCGCCCGGAAACCAAACCATAAGAACATTATGTTGCCAACGTCAATATATCCAAAGAATTATTTCTCACACAGCAAAAAAAGTGTAGGTTTCCGTCTTCCGGAAACCTTCCGGATACCTTCCCATTTTGGATCCGGCCCGGATACCTTCCGGAAACCTTCCCTCAAAAAATGTCAAAATTTGGGGGGTGCATTTTGTTCACTTAAGTGTGAAACACATAAAAAAATTATCTTGAAAATATCAAGAAATTAGAAGGTTGCTGAAGGTATCTGGAAGGTTTCCGAAAGGTTTCCGGAAGGTATCCAGATGCAAATTTTCTTCATGTCTTGTTTCTGGTAAATAATGTTAGCCTGTGCATAACAGATAGCTTTTGTAATATTCTGTGTTACTTTAATGGTAATTATCCTCCTAAAATATTTTTGGAGAAGACAATTGTTCAATTTCATATATTGTTCTTTTCAGATGTTAAGGGTATTTAATGAACAAACATCAGTTCTCGTATAATGATATCCTTAAATTTCAGAAACCATGCTTCATTAATCATTTTGTTAACGCAGACGATTTCACTCGAGACGTGTTAATGTTTCGTTGTAATACTATTCTACTCACAAGAAGTTAAAGATCACCTGATTCTTTCAAATTACAAATAGTTAATCTGTCACGCATGCCAGACAGATCAACTATATTACATTGAAAAATCGCATGCACCTTAAACTTATTTTGAGTAGTATATATTAATTAGATAACTGTAGTTTCGAGGCATATCAACAATACCTACATGTAGATAATGCCGAAAATGGACAACAATTATGGTGATTACAGCGTTTGAGTGTACACAGTGCTTGCTGTATTTGTTCTTTGTTGTTTAACTCTGCACTCAGCAATATTCCAGCTGTATGACGGCGGTCTGTAAATAATCGAGTCAGGACCAGACAATCCAGTGCATAAAAACATGAGCATCGATGTGCGCAATTGGGATACGATGACATGCATCAACCAAGCTGACGACCTGACATCCCGATCCCGTTAGTCGCCTCTTACGACAAGCATAGTCGCCTATTACGGCAAGCATGGGTTGCTGAAGATCTATTCTAACCCGGATCTTCACGGGTACACAGTGCTTGTATCCACTAAGGGTAGTTAAATACAGGGAGGTGTTATACACTTACCGAACCTAGATGCGCAGCTAGATGATCATGTCAGTTACTCCTTATCCTCGTTGAAGGCAGTTAGTTCCTGGAAACACGTAGACAGCGCCTGGGGAGAGACATTGAAAGGCACGTCACATTCTATTCACCTCAATCAGAATCTCGAAACGAGCACCTTCTTTGATGGATTTCTTAGTGTACATTTCAGAACGCAATCAAAGTAAAAGAGTTTTTGAGTTTGGATTAACGCCGCTTTAAACAGCATTTCAGTTTTGATCTGTGAGTCAGCTTAATGTGGCAGGAAAGCCCAAACGGGATAGGTCTTACACGTTCATCACATTGTTGACCACATTCATTTGAAGTGAAGTATCTGATATTAAACCATTTGAATACAATTGGAAGTAACTCACTACTCACTATATTCAAAACAATACGACTGAAAGAAACTACATGATTCAGAGCCTATTGATTAAACTGTCTGAAGCTGCCTTGACCCCTTCCCTGTGATAGAAATGATGATATTTTTGTTTTTTTTGCACACAAAAAGCATATGATTTGAACATATTAATTCACGACTTTCTATCGGACAATCGATACTGTGTTATTAATATGAAATAATAACGCGGAGCATGTCTACTGAATGTAAACATGCTGGAGGTGATCACTCACTTTCTAAGGCATGTTGTTGTTTTTTAAATCTAGCAGTTGTATTTATAAGATAAATCAGTGTGGGCCATTTCAAGCTTTTCCCACGGGACGTTTTTGTCAACTTCAATGGGGTGACATACTTCTATTCGTAATCCATGTATTGTTATTTCAATACACAAATGTTTCACATATTGAATAGCACATTTTCACCTCTATCAACACAGTCATTATTTATTTACCAAGATAACTGACATCAAACATCGGTTATTTCCTTTAAGCTTGTTCACATAAACAGGCAACAAGAAATGTTAACAGTAGTTTACTTTCTGTATCAACTTCAAATCTGTTAAAACTCTACCTTCAAGGCTGAAATTAAGAATCAAACGGAACTGTACCACATGAAACAAAATGATCATGATATGCCACATCTGAGCTTTTGACAGATATATGGTATAATATTTTAGTATAATATCACGACAAGTGTATGGTTTGAAATGTGGATAGTACAATGATAAAATTTATATTTTATAACTTGGTTTATTTGGAGGAGTGTGTTTCCTTTAAAAGAGCGAAGTATCGGACCTGCTTGTCGGTCACACAATCACACGGTTGACAAGACAATAGTTTCTTAAATCATCCACATTTTCATCGTGTAATTTGAATGTATAGAAATATTTGATACGGCAGATGTGTAAGCTGTGTTGATATATCCTCACGGGGACCCCAATGACACTCCTCTAAACGCAGTTAGCGGTTAACACAAATATCCCCTGAGCACAAATTGTCCTTTTCGACAAAGCAAGAGTATCCTTTAGCTGTGATCTGACTGACTCAATTAACGATTTTCATTGAGGGAATAGAAACTTGAAACATTCTAAGGCTGGCGATGCACCTTGACGTGTAATATCTGGAAAACAATATTAGTGTCTGTTTGCTGCCTAACGCCGTACAAACAGTACTTCTGTCATTCGACGGTGGCCAGTTAGAGTACATACTACTTGTAACAGATTCATGATAATCGATGATCGATGATGAAATCGCAAACAAGTCCCAAGAAGTATATAGGTGAACGGAGGTGAAATGAAGTTTAACTTCGCGTTTAAGATTGTGCACTTATTTAGCGACGCAAACCCACGTGTGTGTGTGTGTGTGTATATCGCTGTGTGACTGTGGACCCGTGATGATACGGGGTAGAATAGATCTTCAGCAACCCATGCTTGCCGAAAAAGGCGACTATGCTTGTCGTAAAAGGCGACTAACGGGATCGGGTGGTCAGGCTCGCTGACTTGGTTGATACTTGTCATCGATCCTAATTGCGTGGATCGATGCACATGATGTGAATCACTGGATTGTCTGGTCCAGACTCGATTATTTTACAGACCGCCGTCATACAGCTGGAATATTGCTGGGTGCGGCGTTAAACAACCAACCAACCCACCTGTACCTACTGCCGAGGTGGCAACAGAAGATCGGATTTGGGGATGTTCATACACAGATGCGACAGGGGGAATACAAGGACCCGCCAAGCATACTTGGAACACTTTTGTAAAAATATGAATTTAAGAACCCATCTTTGTTGTTGTCAGATTCTTAAGTTTATGTTTGTATTGTGTTTAGGACATTGAACTTGATAAAATGTTCATGATTTTCAGTTCGACATTTCAGGGTAAAATTGAACTCATTTGTAACAATAGAGACCATCAATTGAGTTCGATATAACCGGGAATTCGACACAAACGTGTTATAATAGTAATAACAGTGGTTTGCTGGGACCTAACAGTTCATCAGAACTGTTAGGTCCCAGAGTTTGGGATTCGACTGTATATTTAAAATATTATATTATATTATATTATATCCCTTTATAGGGCATCATATCACATTACATCACATTGAGAATCTCACCTGAGAGTCTTTTTATATGGAAATGTCGATTGATGATATTTTTTATATCAAAATACACGAGAGTGAGATTTATATGTATCACCCAAATCCTTCTTCCATCTGTTTCTTTTTGTAAACAGTAATAAGCAGTGTCTTTAAACGCACTGCTAACAAGCTTCAGTAGCGGATTGTGACATGCCAAACGATGACGTCAAAATGGGCTGCAAGCGTTCGGATGCATTTTCATTCGATTGATCTCACCCAAGCGACATCTCCCGTGAGTGGCAGGTTTGGACGATAAATCATATTTATATAATTTAGATTTTATTAAATATTATGAACCACTATGACGGATGACATATAGCTCAGAAACAACCAGCAAACAGCAAGCCATTAGTCATGCAAGTGTTAAATTGCATAGCGCCTTGTCTCAAAAATGCATGACCCTTTGACTGTTGGAAACCTTTGATGGCGGCAGTATCCGCCAGAGCCCCGTGTCAGTAGGGTAGTGTCCCCTTCTCGATCTCTGAGACCACTTCTAACAGGATAAGTAGAAATGTCAAGGAGATATCTTAGGCCTAACAGAGCCTTCATGTTCCCGATAGCACAGGTAGCGACTGCAATCGATAAGGAACTCATCCGGGCTCTATTAATAATGTCGCCTAGGCCTGGCCGTGCTCATCAAAGCTGTTTTTCAGAAACACAAATGGTCTTAGTATGGACTAAATTAGATTAAGACTTTGACGGATACTGGGGCATAAGACAAGCCCTGCATTTAATTAGTCTGAGCTGGAAGGAAGGTGTAAGCATGATATTTGGTTGGAGACACGCGATACCATAAAGAGGATAAGAGTCAATCAAGACAGATTTAGGAAACTTGACCCCGTCTGAAGAACTGTGGAAAATAATAAAAGTAGTCCCAAGGAATAAATCAACCATAAAGGCCCGACGCAGTACCTATAGATAGAACAGACAAAACGTGATCCTTTCAATCCCAGTGTGGAATGTTCCTTGCATTCAGAAATGATGAAACCGTATAAGAGTTAGGGTAGGTCAGTTTGGGATCGAAGATGTTTCTGGTGAATCACAGTGTGCCAGCTCGGGAGGAAAATTGCAACAGGTTGACGTTAACATTTTCGTTCAGATCCAATTTATAACTATGATATAAATGATGCAGTATACTACCTGGGCAGATCTGGGACTCAACTCAAAGATCCGTAAAAAATCGAGTCTGGACCAGACAATCCATTGATTGATATTATGAGCATCGATCCACGCATTTGGGATCGATGACATGCATCAACCAACTCAGCGAGCCTGACCACCCGATCCTGTTAGTCGCCTTTTACGACAAGCATAGTCGCCTTTTACGGCAAATACGGGTTGCTGAAGACCTATTCTACCCCGGATCTGGTAGATAGCGTGTTATCGTACTCCAAGAGCGTTGATCTTGCATACAAATGAACAACTGAATGTACAGACCGTAGTCACACAACTGTATTAGTACTGAGTGGGGCGTTGAACAATGGTTGCTGAAGACCTATTCTACCCCGGATCTTCACGGGTCTAAATCCATGGCCGGAATAGTGCTGCGTAAAGCCGGTCCGCTCACTACATTAAAATATTTTTTATAGCTGATGCAACATAGCTGTATATAGTTGTATTCACTTCACTTCGCGGTCAGCCAAACGGTCCACGTCATGTCACAAATCAACATCAGAGCAACCGTAGGTCTGCGATTCGTCACGTCGAGAATCAAGGTAATTCAATAGTGGAAACGTCTCGACAATCTGACCCCAACAAGCGTGGCAATATGAGCATTGGGTTCTCTTCGCGTAAGGTTAGGAAGCAATCCCACAGCGTAATTGAAGTTCGAGACACTAAATATTACGTCGCTAAATGATTATGAGTGTGATATATTCCGGACGCGCCACGCGAACAAGACGAATGATTCTAAAGGAACACCAGGAATATCATAAATACGTGAAGTACAGATTATTCCCCCACTTGTGGTGATGAATTGGTAACGTGAATGGGAAGATGTCAATCTTGGTATCAATTGCGATAATATGTTCTGTTATCTGACGTTCATAAGATATGAGGTAACGCAGATCCGTGCGAGCGTGGGCTTTGTCCAGTTGTACTAGCTGAAGCTCGGAGTGACGCGACAGTCAATATTCGTTGCTGTACAAGAAAGTAGGCCATTGTAGGCTAGTAAGACAAAGGCTGTTTGGACGATAACTACTGCAGCACTACGGTGTTCGCCAACACCTGGTAGCATTATTACAGTAAACTACGGTTATAACGAAAACGCATATAACGAACTGACTGATATATCGAACTTAATTTTCAGTCCCGACCATTTGTTGTATAAATGTCGTATATATGCTTATAATGAACTACGGTTATTTCGAACTAAAATTAGTGGTCCCTTCGAGTTCGTTATAACCGTGGTTTACTGTAGTTGAAACATAATTAATACTTATGAGAAAAGTTGAAATCGTAACATTGACTCTGGTTTAAGTGGAGATTTCTTATGACATTTAAGACCTCAGTAAAGCTTTTGTTACACTTTTGGAG